ACACTCATATCAACTCCAAAAATTCTGAAATTAAAGTATGAAAAACTTCAAGATGTTTGGAACAACTTTTAAGAGGGAAGTATTCTAAAATTCGGATCACAAAAGTCTCCCCAAAAATAACAGAACAAAGAGGTACAAAGGATCCGAAACTGGGTTTTCCGAAACAAGAGAAAACAATTTAGTTCCGATTGGAAAACCACCAAACTTAAACCATAGCCATTTCCCAGGAACTGAAATTGAGGATATTTCAATTTACCTGCGGCTTCCCAAGCCCAAAATCGGGATGTGACAAGTCCGACGAGGGCGGGGAGTGGCGCCGGGGCCAAACGACCTGATCATTGAGCGGCTTCTGACAGAGGTGGCGCCGGGGTATGAGGCCTGATCATTGAGCGGCCTCTGGGTAGAAGTGGCGCCGGGGTGAAGGGCCTAATCATTGAGCGGCTCCTGACAGGCTTCTAGGATGGCTAAAGGCAAGAATGATCGAACTGTGCACCGAATTGGGAAAACGATTCTGAAATCAAAGCGGGAATAAAGACCTGGCGTGATAAGGTGCGCTGAAGTTGGGGTAGTTAGCTAGGAAACACCCCTATGCATGTGAATGATTGATTGTGGTTGAATAGGTTAAGTGCTCCTGTTTGTTTGTGATCACTGACCTATTCTTGTGTTATAGAAAGTCTTGTTAGACTATTGATAGCAAAATAAGTGCTCAGGACTAGGCTGCGACCGCTGAGGAAAAAGGAAAGTCCCATCAGGACGCCGCGACCTCGAAAGAGAAGTCCAAGCAGGTTCCCCTCTAGTAAGTTGCAGTTCGGTGTTGAGCCAAGAGAAGGCTGTTGAATTTTGACATAACCCGATCCGATGAGGGCGAGGAGTGATCGCCTGGGCAGAACTTGATCAAGGAGCGGCTCTTGGCTAGGAAGTGGACGCCGGGGCATGAGGCCTGATCAAGGTGCGGCTTCTAGCAAGAGTGATTGCTGGGGATAAAGACCTGAACAAGGTGCGGTTCCTGGCAGGCTTCTAGGATGGCGGGTAAGAAAATGAATAAACCGAACTAGGTACTGAATTGAAAGTAAGACGGGAACTGTTATTTGAAATGATAAGTGCGATCTTCGTGATTGTTATAAAGTAAGTAAATTGTGTTTGAGGAAGATTTTATCAGAGTAGCGCAGCGGAAGCGTGGTCAAGCTTGCTGCACTCTAGTATGTTGGATCGAGGTCGGGGAAGGAAAGGTCGTTGGTCCAGAGCTAGTCCACATTACAGTGGATGCTGTAAAGGTACTAAGGTAAGATAAGTCCCAGGTACGTAGGATCTTTTGAAATTCGAGAAGGAAAAGGGATTTGGCCTATCGGTTGGCGCCGCCACCGAAACTTGCTCAGGTACATGTTGTGTTCCATGTATTAATATTGTGAAAGTGTGAGCCCGATCATGCACGCGTGCTGAATTTTTTTCGACGATGTCGAAGTGGATAGCAGAGTGTCCTATGCTGAGGAGCAGGTGCGGATCGTGGATTGTAAGGAGCAAGTGTTGAGAGGTAAGGCCATTTTCTTAGTTAAGGTCCTATAGTGTCATCGGGGCATAAAAGAAGCCACCTGGGAGAGTGAGGAATTGAGGAAAGTTGATACCTGCATTATTCGAGGAACCAGGTACGCGTTTAAATTTCGAGGACGAAATTTTATTAGAGGGGGAGAATTGTCACATCCCGATTTTGGGCCTGGGAAGCCGCAGGTAAATTGAAATATCCTCAATTTCAGTTCCTGGGAAATGGCTATGGTTTAAGTTTGGTGGTTTTCCAATCGGAACTAAATTATTTTCTCTTGTTTTGGAAAACCCAGTTTCGGATCCTTTGTACCTCTTTGTTTTGTTATGTTTTGGGAGACTTTTGTGATCTGAATTTCAGAATACTTCCTTGTTTAAAGTTGTTCCAAACATCTTGATGTTTTACATACTTTAATTTCAGAATTTTTGGAGTTGATATGAGTGGTACGATGGCCTGATTTTTGGACCATGTGAAACTGCCCAGAATGGGTACTTCGGTGATGTTCACACCGTCTTTATTTTCGACAAGCTTTTCTGGGCAGATTTTGGAAAAGTTTCCTTCATGAAAGTTATTGAGAACTTCCTTTTCTATAACGTGTATAAATTTGGGAATTTTCCAAGATGATTTGGATTATGGACAGAGCTTACTTTGAGAAACAAGAATTCTGTTCTAGCGAACTGTTTTTAGTCTGTCCTTGAGCTACTAAAAATGGTGTTTAAAGAGAGATTCAGATTTTGTGTTCTTCATGAAAAATGTTTAGTAAGGTCTTGTTTATGACATATTCAATTTTGAGAATTTTTGAAGTCCATTTACTATATTTTCAAGGCCTATTTCGTGAACAGTTCAAAGCTGTCCGGTTTTGTCAAATTTCAAAGATTTAGCATTTTCTATATGAGGGCATTGGAATTTCGACTAGATGTCTTCTGGTGATTTAAATTACACGTTATGATCTTTCCAATGAGATATGTTACACTTTTATTGGAGGTCGGCCCAGGGGGAAACCGAGAGAGAAAAGCAAGCTTGGAATTGGAGGATTCTAGAGAAATCAAAACTTGAAACTCAAGTTGGAAATGAATTAGGCTTGTTCAAGAAGCCTAATTAAATGATCTTGACTTTGGAGTCCTTATCATGATGGCATGCCTTAATGGCCATGTGAGGTAAGCAATGACCTCATGTCCCAAATGACCTAAGCCATGACCTCATCCTTGGATGACACGTCCGCTTACCTCATTCTCCACGATGACACGTGCGCTTACCTCATCCAAGCTTTGGCCCCAAGTTTTGTCTCTCTATAAATAGAAAGAAGGCCATTCGGCCAAGAGAGAGAGGGAGAACCTCACGTGAAGCCCCCCCCCTTCCTCTCCCTCACGCCATTTCCATGCCCCGAGAGCTCCGGCCAACCTTCTTTCTTATTTCTTGCTTTGTATTCATGACCGAGAAAGAGAGAAAAAGAAAGAAAGAAAGAGAGAAAAAGCTTACCGACTAGCCCGTGTCTCTCTCTTGTGGTTTGATCGAGTGAGGAAGCCTTATGCAAGGCCCGAGTGTTCGTGTTTAAGCCCGAGAACCACCAAGAATCGCCCGAGAATTGCCGAGACTCACGTGTCCTTCACACGGCTTGTTTTCTCTAGTTCTTGTTTAATTGTTGAGTAAGTGAATTCCCTAATATCGGGAAAGGATGTTGAGATGCGTTGTGACGTGGTTTGCTTGGACCGTTTCTCGGTTGTTTGGTTGGTCGTAGTTGGTTCATTTTTCGATTTGACCATGTTTCATGTTTGATGTCGATTTGACCATGTTTGATGTTTGATGTTGTTTTGAGAAAGAACCGAGCCTTGGTTTGTAAAGTGTGCACGATGTGGCCATGCGTGATGTTCTCTTGTTTGAACTTTGCTATTGATCTGCCATCGATGCGGGTGCGGTAAGGGCCGACTTATGTTAACGGCGATTGATATATCCTCGCTTGATATTAGTGTTTTCACTTGCTGAGTCTCCCCGACTCATCCCCCATTTTTCCCTCTCAGGTCCATAGGATGGTCGAAAGGACGTCGGCGACAGGGGGAGTTTGAGCCATGTTGGAGTTCGGGGAAAGCTCGGAGCTGTGAACCCGAAGTAGTGGGCTTAGGACACCCAAGCCATAACATTTGTTGTATAAATGGCTAAAATCGGCTAAGTTGGCTTGTAAAATATGTTTGCGTGTCCTATAAATATAAGGTTTGCTCATGATGCTGTTTGTCTTAATCCCGTTGTTGTTTTTAAATGTGATTGTCCCGAGATATGCTTCCGCTTGTATTTAAAGAAAGATAATAATGAACGGGACGTCACGTTAATGACCCCGAGGACGGGGCATCACAATTCTGGTCTATATCATGTGTGATCCCTAACGGTCCGCGACCTAATGGGCCAGTGCCCAGACACAGGCCCAAGGGTGCCGGGCTGTTCTGTGCGCCGCTAATACCATATCCTCTTTATTGTATACATCACATACAAAGAAATTAACAAGGCTCCAATCCTAGGCAAACAAACCTCTTCCAATCAACCTTGGCCCCATGAGTATTTTCTGACCTTCCTTTACACAATGCTGAGCATTTCATATCAACTTTCTTGGCATAACAATTTTGACAATTATAGTTTATCAAGCTGTAAATAACGACAAACTTGATCAATTGGGGTCTACCTGCATAAATGAAGTGTTTTACAGTCCATGCCGTCGTTCCATTTGGAATCTTCGTGATCAAGGACCTACATCGTTTGTCACTTAGTCTACCGGGGGTAAGAGAAAGATCCTAAACCTTGACAGACAAATTTCCCCATTTAGAACCACTCAATTGAAGCAATTTAGCACAGTATGGATCCTCATATCCAACCAAAAACAATTGTATTTTATTAGAATTCAATTTCAATATGGAGAAGCTTTGGAATATATGGAGTACATTGAAGATTAATCAAGTCCCTAACTTAGGTACCAAAAGGTTTCTAATTGACCACAATAAGCTATTGGTGACTCTCTCGTATAGGACTTTCGTAGGTCTAATTAGTTGAAATGAATTTCCCGACATCGCGCAATGTAAAGGTTTGGGAGAACTCGTGATGATTGAGAACCGTTGGTCCCTTAACTGGACGTTACCTCTAAATCCGTCTCCCGACCGTTCCGGAAGTCATGACAGCCCTCCAAGCCACCATTCAAACTACGAGAGAAACAAGGAGTAGTAACACAAGGTTTAATCCACATTACAATTTATAGAAATTTTAGTGAAATAATACAAGCAAGCAAGCAAGCAAAATTTTCCAATTTACTGAAACAAGTGCCTACGTTATATCAGCCTTGATCATCCAGTAATTGTAAAAGCTCACGAGATAATGTCCCAAATCTCATATGCGAAACCCACACCCAACTCTCCAAGCGCTTCTTTAAACGTGCGAGTCATGCAACTAGTGACAGTCCCGCGGTCTCTGGACAGCTTAAGAACGAAAAGCCAGATGAAACTCGGGAGGTTCTGGACATATTTCAATACCTAGATGTTCGTTCGTTCACAAAGATGATCATGGGTTGCCAGAGAACTGGCTGCCTTGACGATGCCCTGAAACTGTTCGACGAAATGCCCGTGAGAGATGCAATTTGCTGGAACACAATGATCAAAGGCTGCTTAGACTGCGGGGACTTGATGATGGCGGAAGAGCTTTTTGATGAAATGCCCGAACCAAGTGTTGTTTCGTGGACGACAATGATAGATGGGTTCTTTCGATTTGGACAAGTTGAGCAGGTAGAGAGATATTTAAAAAAACAGATGCCCATAAGGGATCTTGCTGCATGGAATGCGATGCTTCATGGGTATTGTGAGAATGCGAGGGTTGATGATGCTGTGAAATTGTTTGAACAAATGCCTTCTCGAAATGTGATTCCATGGACTCCAAGGACTGGCGGGCTTGACCAAAATGGTAAGAGTGAAGAGGCTTTAATTCTTTTTGAGAGAATGTTCGAGTCTGGTGTTGTTCCCAATTCGAGTAACTTGACATGTGCATTGAGTGCCTGTGCAAATGCATCATCTTTTCCTCTTGGTGTGCAGATTCATGGTCATGTTTTCAAATCAGGATTCTGCCTTAGTGGATTTGTATGTGCTTCTCTCATCACGTTCTATGCTAACTGCAAGCGCATTGAGAAAGCAACCCAAGTCTTCAATGAAGCAGTTTATAGGAATGTGGTCATATGCACGGCTCTTCTAATTGGTTATGGCTCGAATGGTAGGCATGAAGATGGCCTGAAGGTGTTCAGTGACATGATGAGAACAAGTGTTCTTCCTAATCAATCTTCTTCTCTAAGTTCTTTAAACTCTTGCTGTAGTTTTAGAGTCTCTAGATCGAGGTAAGGAGGTCCATGCGTCAGTTGTAAAGCCGAAATTGGAAAGTGATGTTTTTGTTGGCAATTCTCTTATAGCCAGGTATAATAAGTGTGGAGGCTTTGATGATGCTGTTGTAGTGTTCAAAAGACTCAGGGAGAAGAACATTGTCACCTGGAATGTCGCTGTTTGCGGGTTTGCACAACATGCCTGAGGGATGTGGGCTATGGAGTTGTTTAGCCAAATGATTCGCAGACTGGTACAACCAGATGACATCACACTCACGGGACTACTTTCTTCCTGTAGTCATTCTGGGATGTTACAAAAGGGGAGGTGCTTATTCAGATACTTTAGTGAGAACACTTTCAGTGAATTGAAGCATGAGCATTATGCATGCATGGTAGATGTGCTAGGATGATGTGGGAAGCTAGAGGAAGCAGAGGATATTGTAAGAACATGCCCTTTAAAACTAACTCCATAGTGTGGCTTGCTTGGCTTAGTTCTTGCAGGATGCATTCTAACCTAGATTTGGCAGAAAGAGCTGCAAACTATATTCTTGACCCAAAACCACATTGTAGTGCTGCTTATGTTTTACTGTCCAACTTCTATGCTTCTGCTAATAGGTGGGGTGATGTCTCGAGATTAAGAGTGACTATGAGGGATAAATGGATTGTGAAGCAACCAGGTAGCAGTTGGGTTACTATAAAGGGGCAAAAGCATTTATTTCTTTCTAGGGATAAATCCCACCGTTTGAGTGAGAACATATATTGGAAGCCGGATTGGTTGAAACTGAAGTTGAAGGAATTAGGTAACGTTCCAAATAAGAGGTTCTCTCTCCATGACATGGAAGACGAACAGAAGGAAGGGTCATTATTACTATCAAGGGTAGTACAATAACTGTAATGAAGAATCTTTGCATTTGTGGGGAATGTCATTTTGCAATTAAACTTATTGCAAAGATTGTTGATCGTGAGATGGTTGTGAGAGATTCCAGCCGCATTCATCGCTTTAGGAGTGGCATTTGCTCTTGCGGGGATTATTGGTAGCGAGGGCATGAGGTTATTTCTCCTGTCATGAACCTGTAAGCATGCTGAGTTTGCTCATTGTGTTAAGCATTGATGAGAGTGGAGCTGCTATATGAGCACTATACAATATGGGCTTACTTTAATTGTTGACATAATAGATAATGAATCCATGTGGAATCCATGGCTTTTTTATCAGCTTTGGTTTAGTCTAGGAGGCTAAGGGAGTTCAAACATTTCTTAGCTGTATGTGTTGGGCATGTGGAAAGTTGGAGACTTGGGAGGAAATCTTGCTTTGGATGGCATTGCCATCCATTGGCTCCATACAGGGATTTCTGTTGAGAGGTGAGTATTTATCACTTTGTTTATGGCTTTGAAGCCACCAGAAAAAAAGAAACTATTTACACATAAGATATCCCTTCTGCGGAATTAAATTAAGGGAGAAAACTTAGAGCCTTGGAAATAGCTACTTTCCATCTCTCTCTAGCAAAGAGAGAGAGAGAGAGAGAGAAATTGGGGCATTTAGAGAGAAGGAAGTACCACTTGGTAAAAGAAAAGAAACCCACCCAAACAAAAGAAAGGTTCCTGCCCTGCCTCCTCTTTTCTGATTCCTTTTTTTGAAAACTCCCATTAACTCTTCTCCTCAACACCTCTATTACATTCTCAGAGCCCATCTGTCTCTTCATTAGGTCTATGAGATATAACAAAAGCTTCTTAATCTCTGGATGAAATTTAACTTCACCTAAAGTTCTCTCACAATTTTGCTGGATCTCTTCAACAAATCGACAGTACCAAGTGAGGTTAGTTTATTTATGGTGCCAAAATTAGTACTCTCATGGTTTTTTTTGTCTTGTTCAAGTTGAGCAGATGTTTGGATAGAAACTAGTAGTCATAAAAGCACAATAAAATCTCAATGTGTCTAGCACAATTGATCAGTTATCGACACTCACTTATGTGTTGGATGAGAAGTAGAAACTATTTATTTTAATAGTGATTAGTCAACTCTTCATTTTGCTTTTCCTATGGATTATTTTTTGTTATGTGCGGTTGAAGTCCATAACTCTTGTGCCATCTATTTTCTTAAGTCTTGCGAATATGTGGCTGGGGCTCCCAATTGCCTGAGTCTTCCTGACCACATTGGAGAACAATCTTGTTCATGTTGAAGACGAATTTCACAATACCTCTGCCAGTAATATTCTAGCACTACCTTGTAGGATTCCTTTTTTCTATGGATGAAAGTTGGATCTTTGAGTGAATTTTAATTCATAGTCCTGACGATGCATACTTGAACTTAGTTTGCTTGTTGTAGGTTTCAGGTTGTGCTTACCACATTTAACACTTTCCACAAATGGAAGTTACACTGGGCGTTACATTTGAAGCTGTGTGTGCATTAAGAGAAAAGATTATCATTTTTTGTTAGACTATTGATGTTCTTTGGCCTCCTTAAACTTGCATATTACATCAAAATGGGGAGTTGTCTCCCAAAATGTCTGCATAAACTATGACAATTTTGTTTCTTCTCCTTTACTAGGTACACGAAATGCTAACACTCCTTGCCCTTGAGTTACTTTTCATCTTGCTGTTATGTTTAGAAAGCGTGACTTCATTATGGTCTTATTTGAAGCACTAGTTTTGTTTCGAGGTTAGAGGTATAAACTTTGAAAAACTTACTCTTTTAACATCTGGTCTGGAATGTTGTAATTCTTTGACTATTAGAAAGAACTGTTTTCATATGTAGGGTAAAACAGAGTTCCGTCATTTGTTTACATGTGAATATGATTGACATCCAAGAGGTCTAGACTTGTCATTCTTTAGAGTCGTGTCACGCTGTGATCAAATTCGCAATAAAACTTTCTTAATATTCATAGCATACAGGTATGGCTGGGATGTCTTTCTTCACTCCCACATGACCCATAAATTACAATGGTTACTCTTTCAATGAAGTCTTCACAAAATAGCCATATAGATATATATCATGTCTTTTGCAGTGTTGAAATGATAAAAGAGTTTTCACTAGAGAGGTATATAAGCTTCCGGGGTAGCTGGGCTTTTGTTCTCGTGCCCCTAAGTTATAAAAATAACGAAATAGGGCTAGACCAATTATATACTTAGTTGTTCGTATCAATTATATATCTTTTGAGTGGTCATGTGTTAAATTATTATCGACAGTTTGGAGAAAAGAAAAAAAAAGAAAAAACGACTACTTGGAGGTTGGGATTGCCATTTCGAGGAAGCCATAAATTTTTTCTATTAGTGAGCATATGATAAAAGCTAACCTAATGACATGAAATACTTCAATTTCCAAAAGAAAAACGAAGACTACATAGACAAAAGCCTCGAATCCGGTACATTAATTGAAAACACTTTTGTTGACCGCTCAAGAGCATCAACTATTTAACAATAAATTTGATATAAAAACAAAGAAACTTGTGTAAAATAAGATAATCTGAATATTGTCGTGATATCCGTTCTCCAGAGAAAATAAGTTGATGGGTTCACACCTATTAGATATAGCGGTCCACACTTAAGAACCATTTCTAAAGTTCTAATTTTATTAATAGATCTAATATTGTTCTTTGCCGATATATTTGATCGTGCGTATGATGATGTGTCTTTTGAGGTAGACATGGCCACGAACCGGAACCGCCGGTTCCGGTTCGTGGCCATGTATGAATCAGAACCGGTGGTTCCGGGCCGGTTCTGGCCTGGTTCGGAACCAGCCGGTAAAAATTAAAAAATAAATTATGAAATAAAAAAATAATGAATTATCAAATTATGAAATAATGAATTATTCAATATAAAATGTAATCAAAACGTATATTATAATCAAATTTGGAGAAAAAAAAAGAGAAAGAATGAATTTTTTTTTTGGAACCGGGCCTGGAACCGCTGGTTCCAAAATTGTTGGAACCGGAACCGGGCCCGTAGGCCACGGGCCGGTTCCGGTTCTAAACCGCGGGCCCTATCAATGGGCTGGTCCCGGGTTTGACCCGGGCCGGTTCCAGGCCGAAATCGGCCCGTGGCCATGTCTATTTTGAGGGGTCAAGTGTTTAATTACGATTTAGCAAAGAAGAAACAACTACTCGAAGGTCGTGGATGTGATTTCAAGGAAGCCAGTAAAGTTTCTTTGTTAGTTTGTGCAATAATTGAGTCCACTGGGACCAGTAGTGATCTATACTATTCTCTGCCTTCGTCGGCTATTTGGCTTGTTGACTGGTCAAATTTGTCGACAATTTACCAATAAATACAATATCAAACAAACAAACTCGTCAATCAATCAGCCAATCGGAATAACCCCGTGATATGCGGTCTTCAGGAAAAATAAGTCCACGTGCTCACACCTATTAGATATCTTGGTCATCCAGAAGCACCATCATTTTCCAAATTTCTAATATTCTTTTTTGTTGACCCTGCCCTAAAAAAGTCATGCGCCTCTGTCCTTTAGTATAAGAATAAATCAACAAGAAGATCGAATGGTGAACGGATTACCTAAAAACACTCTACCAGATCTTAAGCTAATACTCGTTGCAGATTGTTGAACTCCATCATCTAATGGCTTCTTCATCGAAACGTGAAAGGATTTACCATGTGTTCTTAAGTTTCAGAGGCAAGGACGTCCGGAACAACTTTCTCGATCATCTCCAGAGAGCTCTTGACCAAAAAGGAATCTACACTTATGTTGATAGCAAGGAGCTCAGGAAAGGAGAGCAAATAACGCCGGCGCTTATGAAGGCGATCGAGGAATCACAGATCGCGATAATCATTTTCTCTGAGGATTACGCTTCCTCATGGTGGTGTTTGGAAGAGGTGGCGAGAATCATGGAGTGCAAGAAAGAAAGAGATCTCATGGTCTTTCC